CAAAAAGGCGCGAAGCTTGCTGGGATCAGGAGAGCAAGGTGAATCATATATATAATTGGAAAAAACAGAACGGGTGCTCCTGAGAGATGTTTCTCTTGCAGAACATGTGCAAAAGACACAATGTTTTACAGTGGCTTTTGGCTGCTAACACCTAGGTTTTGGAGCAATTGTTTGTTTCAATGCTTTGTTGTTAATGCAAAACATGAACAAAAACACTGTGCTTTACAGTGGTTTACGGCTGAAACTTCAAAAATGACCTAAAGTTTTGAGCTATATCAAACACTACAAAAAACTACAACAAACAAAAACCTTAAAAAAGAACATAAAAACAAACAACAATGTTTGAGACAAAATGACGGTTTGGGATTTGGAAACTGTATGATAATGTATTTTTGTTTTGCCTTCATTTTTTCTCGAACATTGTTGTGTTTTTTGGGGGTATTTTGTTTTTTGTATTCCTTCTAAACCTTTGCAGGCCTGGTCTGAACAATTGAAGCAATACAATAGCTCAAAACTTAGGTTTTTTGTGGGCGCAGTCTCAAAAGGCTTCAATTAAAGAATCAATCATAACATGTAAAATCTATTGGAACAATAGAAAGGTCCTTTGGGATCAAGGTGACGTTGCTGATGAGGAGAGTGTTGAAGCCGAAGTCTGCGTATCTGATATTGTCAATCCTTTCAAGATTCAACGCCACAGAGCTTTGACCGATATTGAGAACAAATGAATACAACTTACCAGGCAGTTATTGATATTGAACAAAGACGAGTCAAACGAATAATGCGTATCATTAATTTTTCACATTGCACATAGAAATTTGGCAGAGGAAGATAGGACAATATGCGTTTCACCAAAATTTCAGAGCAGTTTTTTTTTTAAATTGCTCGTGTTGTTGATAGATTTTGAGCTTGGGTGTGCTCTCTGGAGCACACCCGCTCTCAAAAGAAACAGGGTCAAATTTTTCTAGAAGACCAAGCCCGTGATGGACACATGATTTGCCCGTGACAACCCAAGCATTCCAATCGAAACCCTAGGCTTGAGCCCGGAAAGCATGGGTTCTGGGGACACCCCACTTTTGGTCAAATCCGTGACGAAACCGTGCTGGACCCGTGATTTACCCGCGACAACCCGTGAAAAAAAGAGAACACAGGTTGAACCCACTGACATTTGTAGCGTTTGACCAGTGTGGATTCCACTGGTCCAGCCTCTTACCGGGTGCAGAGAACTGAAACCCCGGGTTTGGGGGGGGGCAAACCCTGGTATTGACATCTCGGCTCTGGTTGATGAAGGTAGTAAAGCAATTTATAGTTATACAATGGTTGTTCGGTAAAGACTAAAACAATAGTGGTTGGAATCCCAGGGCAAGCATTCCAGTTTCGAGTTTTGAATGTTGGCGCTTCACAGTCCCGTCGAATCTTCGTCAGCAATTAATCATGGTCCCGTCGAACCTGTTACAGATCCATGAATACTCAAAGTCTCATCCTAGCCTTGCAAGACCATTGACAGAAAGGTTGACCTGAGTATTGGTACGGCGATGAGCAGATTAAACAAGATCGGTTGGCTTGGCAATATGATGCAGGCTGCTTACTTGGACGGCCGTTGAGATAGGCACTATCAGACAGCACTGAGTGTTGCACGCTTGAAATGTATTTTGTTTGACTTGGGTTCAATGGGTTCAAGTCCAATTTCTCATTGATGCAGTGGTTGTTCAGTTTTCCACTTCCTGTTCTTCGGTTTTGGTGGGCAACTGGAAGCCTAGGGCCCAGGGCTCCAGCTTTCTTCACATCTTCTTTTGACGGAGTCGCATGAACCCATCTGGTGGTCCACCATCAGCGTGTGCACCGAACCCGCATCGGCGCCACCTGTCCGCCTGTCCGCGGCCTGCTGCGGTGGGCCTGAACAAGAGGTGCCCAACAGTGAAGTCTTGCTGCCACCATGGAGCCCCTTGATGGACAAGGCCGCCCATGTGGCGTTCGTTCGGAAATGAAGGGACTCTGGAGGTCTTTTTTGGAAATGTGTTTCAAGGGAAGTTTGTTTGTTTTTTTCCTGCCATGAATCAATAACATGGATTCCTGAGTGGACAATGACCAAGGCTTCTCTACTCCTAGAATCTAAAAACACATGGGGCCCCTCCGTTGATGTTTGGGGCCCTCCAGTTTGCCAAGGTCGAACCGTCCACCGGGGCTTGGAACCCCTCAAAACCCTATCCAGCACCATCCATTTCAGGTGGATTAGGTAGACCTACCCAGGTCCTTGGGCGCTGAAGACTGTGTTGCTTCAGATCTGGATCCTTCCCGTCGACAGCTTCCAATTGAACCTGGAGACCGAATCAACCAGAAACAGTTCGGGATGTTTCCCCAGCCACTTCCCAAAAAGGATCTCCATTGGAACAAAAGGGAAGAACGATTTGTTTCTGCTTGAGACTCGGGTTTCCAACTCAACAGACCTTTGCTTGCACCACATGCGGATATCCGCTTCCGCAGTTTCCTCCCCCATAACCACAACAATCCATGGGACCTAGACGATTGACTTACTCGTTCGGTTTGGTTTGCTCACATCTTTCAAGGATGTTCAAGGGATGTTTGGTCAATCACCGGTGGTTTGGATGTTTTGAGGGTTTTCATGGGGCCGGTCATGTTTGTTCGTTTGGTGGATGGGGTATACCAAGCCACACATGTCACACCTGTCAGACATCCAATCAGCCTGATCTGGGCAGCGTCTCGAGAGGCATCTTTGGCTTCCAAACACCTCGTGGACCTCAATGGCTTCGCCGGGATCCGCGTGTGTGTAGCGCGTCAGTTTACGCGTCAACGCGAAACGGAGAGAAGAACGAGACAAGGAGAGAACATAAGCCGTAACATGCTGAATCAATTCCCCTTCTTGAAAGAGTTTGGCTGACCTGGTTTTGGAGTCCAACATCCTCAATGAAGTGAAACAATGGTTGCTTGGTAAAAGACCATGAAAAAGCGGCCAGGAATTTTAGGGAATAGGTAGATATCCCAAGCACCTCATCGGACCAGAGAGGCGCTGTTTGGGAGTCCTGGCCTCAAGTCTAAGATGTCATTATGCATCCTCATCTTCTTTGCACATCTTCAATCAATCTTGAGCTCTTTGTTTGTGAGGGACAACCCCCACCATGCCTTCCACGCGAATCTAGCGCAACGATCACACTCACCTCGAAAGAACAGCCGCCACAAGAAGAATCAACATCACTCTATATATTGCCCTAGCTGTTCTAGCCTTGAAAGACCATTAAAAGCATGGTTGACCTGTTTTCGTAGTCTAAAATCGGCTTAGTAAACAAACAATTCTTGTGCAGGAGCCACAAAAAACAAATGGTTGTTGGAATTTCCAGGGTCCATAATCTTCTTACTCCACTTCATCTCTTCTCAAACATCGAAGCTGATGGGCTCCACATGGAGAAAAGGAACGGTATGTTGTTTCATGTTGTTTCCCACACGACTCTTAAGGTGTCCCTGTCAAATTCGTCGCAACCAGCTGCTTCCGTTCGTGACCTTGTCCTTTGGAGTGATTGCGACCGAACTTCCAGGCCGGTTGAACCGTGACCTCAGTTCCCAGCGCATCAAGTGTCATGTGGAAGAACCAGGAACATATGTTATCATACCCAGACCCAGACACTCCATGTATGCCATAATATTGACCCCCCAAACCACCCCAATGTAGGCAAATATGGCATACATGGAGTGTTTGGGATAGATGGATCAAAACAACGACTCACTCGTCGAACCAAAACATTCACGGTCGACTGTTACCTGTGAGTGGAGGCTCCGCCCAAAAGAGGGCCGAGTCTCGTCTCATTGATGGAGCGAAGCAGCGGGTCGACAAATGAGGTCACGAAGCACATGCACGCCTCTGCGCCGAATGCGACCTTCAACGCCTTGATCAGGCGCGGTGCTGGGCAGGGCTGCGGTGCTTGGCCGTGTGTGAAAGCCGTGTGCAAACGGGCAGCATCGAGCAGGGACCCAGACCATGGGGTAAAGTATGGGACCTGGGGGATCTTTCCTGAGAATGTTTTTTCAACCCCAGTTCCACCATGCGAGGTCAAGAGGAACCTGGACTCTATTGGAAGTGTTTTCGGAACCTTGTGTCGACCACGTGCTCAAGTCGGCTTTTCGTGACAGGCTTTATAAAATGCAGATTTCGTGGCAGGTGCAGCACTTTGGATATGGGGGTGATCTTGGACGCGCGTGTTTTCCATCCACAGGGGAACTTCAGTTTTTGAAGCGCTCATGAGGTGCTCAAACAGACTTTCAGAGGAGAGCCAACTGCGACTGCAGTCTCCGACGATGTGCGCGATGTGGATGTGGAGTTGTCGCCGTACAGGAAGCTAGTAGAGACACTGCCAGCAAACCACAGTCGAGATGGTTTGGAAGTTCAGTCAGCCGATTTGACATTGATTTTGCTGAGAAGTTTGCCCCAAACATCAGCGAGCACTCAATTGGACCTTTCACTGCTTTGTGTTCCATGGATGGCCTCAGCCGCAAGGAAAAACAATATGTGCCCATTGCCTATGTATGCCACCGTGGTGAAAATCACCTTGGCTGGCTGATGATCGCCAAGCACCTCGCGTCATCCAGCACCTCACCCAGCAGATGGCAGGAGAGATCATCCAGGTGTGGTCGACTCAAGCCAGTGTCTTCCGCACACGCAGGGGGATTGAAAGAGCCCTTCCAGCACCAGAAGCACCTGACTTTGACCTGCCATTGCATGAGGCTCCATCAAAAAACTCGCCATACCGCATAAAGTCATCGATCACAGAGTCTTGGTGTGCCATGGCTTGGTGAACTACTTGGGAGACGCAAGGCACATCGAGGCGTGGTATCTGCCCGATATGGTGGAAACCCGCAACCCGCCTATTCTCCTGCCATTTCTCTCCTTCTCGAATTCAGACTTGGTTCTGAGGAACCGCCTCATCGAGTCGATCCAGCGTCCGGGGTGCATTTCTCTCCGTCCATTGCTTGCTTTTGCGCCATCTATCAAAGAGATGTTCGCGGCAAGAGTGTTCGTCGGTGCACCTGAATCCATCTTGCGCTTGAAGGCGATCATCTGGACGCTGGTCAACGAATATGATGCAGTAGTCCACCGACGCGGAGTCGCACAACAGCCAGTGCCCACTGTGAACATCCATTCTGTGGAGGTGATCCCTGGAGTGGAACATGAGACTTCACTTCACCAACGTCACCAGCATGGGCACAAAGACAGCTCGTGGATCCGCTCTATGCTTTCAATTGTGCTGCACAGGAACTTTTGCCAGTGTGCATCCAATTCTTCGAGAAGCTGGCCGACGCAGTGATCCCAGATCCGCCTCGCACTCGTGAGATGATCATGCAAGGCATGGGGCACAGGCTCATTTTCATGAATGAGGTGTCAAAGGGAGGGCAGGCAGATCTCAGTGAGGAAATCTTCGTCTGCTGGGGGGGGGCGACCCAGAGGGAGCTTGGCAGGAAGAGGATGATCAGCTGCCAGTGAGCGCCGAATTTTCGTGACAGGTCAAGTGAATCGTGACTTTTGTACATGTGAGGTTCGTTTTCAGAAATCGTGGCAGGTGCAGTCCTTTTGGGACCTTGAAGTGCAGATTTCGGGGCAGGTGTTGTACTTTGTGGACCTTGAAGTGCAGATTTCGTGCCAGGTGCAGTGCTTGGTGGACCTTGAACTTCGTGCCAGGCACAGCACTTTGTGAGCCTCGAGTTGCAGGTTTCGTGACAGGCGCCGCACTTTGTGAACCTCAAGGCGCGGATTTCATGGCAGGCGCAGCACCCTGTGAGCCTCGAAGTGCACGCTCACTAGCTCGCTCGCTCGCTCCCTCCCTATGCTCCCTCACTCACTCACTCACTCACTCACTGGGTTTGCTGGATATCATATGTGGTGATCTATGCCAGGATGACCTGGCCCACGCAGAACTTCCCAAAGAAGTCCAACGACGCTGCACAAGACAGCAGCTAGTGGATTTTGAGGCTCTTCGCGTGGTCCTACTACAAGGAGTTGAGCAAGAAGATCAGGCTTTTCAAACTGTTTGCTTCTTCCGGTCCATGGTCGACGTCCTAAGTGATGTTGACCCATTGTGGTCCCAGACTGTCTCACTTCCTGACCTTCAGTTAGCACTGACGAATCTTGGTCAGATCAGGAAACTTTCTGATCCTATCAAGGTCTTCAAAAGCATCACGGCTTGGCCCATGGCTAAGTTCCTCGGGAATGAACTTCCTGCAGAGCCGGGATGTCTTGTTGGAGACGTTAGTGGCTGGCTTTCTGGCGCCAACCCTCTCGGGGTACCAGGACGGTGGCTACATGGTCTTCAAGCCGTTCAACGACGTGTTGGGGGTGGTCGTGAATTGCCAATGCCTTGAGAAGGGCAGCAAACTCACCGAGGAGACGTCGTACAAAAGCCTGTGGGTCGTGCCCAGCAACCCGAACCACATCCTGAATCCGAAGACCAAGCACTTCACTTCAAAAAAACGCTGGTGATGCGGAGAAAACCGAAGCAGATTCTTAAGAATCATGTTGTTCAGAGACAGAATCGGAAGTCGGTGAATTTTTTTTTGGAGTTTACTCCAGGGTGTTAAACGCAGTCTTCCTCCTGTCCTGACAGTTTCATCGCAGACTCCATCGCCAAGCCTAAATAATGATTGACTCAGGAAATCCCTGAATTGTCTGCTAATCTGGTCGAGGAGTACGAAGCTGCTGCCTTTGATGATCTGTTTCGTCCGAAAACTCTCTTCATGGAGTTCGTGAAACACGCAAAGTTTCTGAATCTTTCGAAACCCTGGCTGGAATGCCAGCACCTCCCATACTCGCAGCCAAAGTGGTAAGACTGCAACTATTCGTCAACTCCTTATGGAGCACCTTCGAAGTAAGCTACTCTCGTGATTTGACTGTCATGACAGAAATCAGTCCTGGAGTGGTAATCCACACCACCTGCTACCTTGGAGAGTTAGTTAAGACAACGACAATAAACCTGGCAGATATATACTGCATATATATATATTATATGTTATATTGTATTATGTTATATATATTATATTGAAGTAATTTATTCTCTTTCAGAAGCTCACGCCGAACAGTGGGCCGGCATGGGGGCCCAGGACGAGGTGGTAGAGGCAGTCAGCTGAGAGTGGCTGGTGGAGCTCGAGTGTGGCGTGTGATGCTGTGGCTGTGGCAGTGCAGCGGTGGTTGCTGCTGTGAGGGCGTACTGTGAGTGTTGTGGCTGTTTCAGAGTGAGAAGGAGTTGAACATATCTGGACAATATTTGATGTGATTTTAGTCTAGTGGGTTGGGTGCTAGAAACTTGGTCACGCCCCAACACCCTTCCTTGATGGAGGCTTGGCATGGGGATTGTTTTGGTTTCTTTGGTGTTGGTGGCACCTTGTACGCTTGATTTCATGGAGGCTAGGCTTGAGTGGGTTTGTGTGAGAAGGGGAGGAGAATGGTGCAATTTGACATGAGAGGTTTACCAATTGGATAGGTGAGTGAGAAGGACTTGAAAACATCTGAAAATACTTGGTGTGATGTGATTTCAGTGGTGGTTTTGGTGCTAGAAACTTGGTTGCACCCTTGCCACCCAAGATCGCCCCAAGATCGGATGATCCAAAAGGTTGACATGTTGCATAGTTGGAAGATCCAGGAACAGAAATTTAGTCCTCTAGATTTATCTTGCCGCGTTTGATATTGATCCGATTTTTCCTGGCATATTAGACCATTAAAGGAATGGTTGACCTGGTGGTATAGTGTAAACATACTTCGCAAAGCAGCTGGTTCTTTGGGATTCAGACCAGAAAAAACAGTTGGTTCTTCGATTCTCCTGGTGCATCCAACCGTCTTCCATCTCTCCTGGTTCATCGACGCGCTGACAGGGCGGATCTCCGACAGACGCCCGGGGAACTGGAAGGGAAACCCTTTCAGTCGCTCGGCAGAGCCCAGGGCCTGGTGGGGTCGGTGCAGGGTGCCAAGGCGGTCTGGTTTGGTGTGGACAGGACTTGCTATCTTAGTTCATAAGAAAATGGTCTGGACATGATATAGCCTAGGGCTCCTGGCATACCTCCTCAGAGGGTATGACTGGACCCTCCTGGCACCCACCCCCAGTCCCACCTTCTCAGAAGGTACGACTGGAGCCCTAGGAATCGCTTGAGCCCGACGTTCAGTGTTTGGAACTGAAACCCTTGGCCGCCGGGTTGGCTGCCGGATGATTCAATGCCGGGTCAGCCGGCCATGGTCGTTGCTCAGCCATGGGTGCCTTCGGCTTGGTGACTGAAAAGCTGCAACAGCCGAGCATTTGCATCCGCACGGGGTAACTACTGTCCCTGGCGATCCAGTCATCCCTTCTCAGGTTCGGTACGACTGGACCCTCCAAGGCCACCTACATCACAGTGTCGTTTTCCATCACCGTACCTGAGAAGCTCACGCATCGTTCGGGTGTCCTTGCTCACCGGACGTTCACCAGACATCCGTCGTTGGGACTCGTCCCGTCGAGTCCCCAGAGCGGAAGGTCTTTTCTCGGATGGTCCGATGAGAGCCCCAAATCCTACGAGCTCCGATGGATTGGGGTTAGAATTAAGAGTTCAGAAGCCTGCAGGTGAAGAGTATGAGCCTGCAGAGGTTATGAACTCATAAGGTTAGAGACTGTAGTTGCTCATGTTCGCTTCGTGACCTTCCCCCTTCAGTGAATGGAGCAGCATGGAGCAGCAGCTTGGCGCCGCCTCTCGCCCGCAGATCCGGCAGGTTCACCTCCCCCGTTCTGCCGCTCTGCCCGGGCGAGGTCCTACATCTTTTTGGCCAGTTCCATGGAAGCCCCCTCGCCGCCCTTCGTGGTGCGCAAGCTTCGGATCCTGCGCGTGCGGACACTCGGGGTGACGGACGTTGAGGGCGAAGACGGCCTTTTGGAAACATATTACCAACCCGGTTGGCCGCTGGCGGGAATATGTTGAAACATCTTCCATGATCTTCCATGACTTAAGTCAAGTCGCCAAAAGGGTGCGGACCTCATTCTTTCTTTCAGGTGTTGTTTCACCAGGGTCGGGTCAAGCGAGCGGCCTTGATGGGATGTTTCCGAAATCTGGTCAACAGGGAGTGCCACTTTCGTGGTGGGTCAGGTTTGGTATAGGGAATCCACTTTTTGTTGGACTTCGGTTTTGGGGTCGGGGACTTGGCAATTTTTTTGCAAGTGGTTTGACCTCCCAGAGACTCCGAAGGTGATGAGTGATGATGCTTCTTAGCAAATCTACACCCGAATGGATTCAAGTCGCTCAGAATTGATTTTAGGGCTCCAACTACCTCCAGAGAAGGTGGTTAGGGTGTGTTTGGCGGGTCTGACCACCTGAGGATCAGGTTGGAGCCCTGATTGATTTTAGACTACAACACCATTAGGTCAAGCTTTGTTTGATGGGTTCCCAAGTCGGTGCGACGAACACAATGAAGGTTTTGTGCCTTCCAAACCTGCCACCCAAAGAATCCGGGCCCTTCTCCAATGTGAAGAGTTTGGTTCAGGTCCGGGACAATGCTGCGAAGAGGGAGAAGGTCCAACCCCTGCCATGGAGATGTTCACCAATGACGGAACAGCTGGTGAACGGCGGTGTCACCGGAACAGAGTCGCCCCAGTTTTTAAAAGGTGGTTGCACGTGGTTGCACGACCAGATGCGGTATAGAGGAACATCATGTTCCAACTCCTTTGGTTGGCACTTGGCATGCTTTGTATCGAAGCAAGGGCGACCGTTGGGTCAACCTTCATCTTTGTATAATATACCGCCCCCTGACGCTGTCCATCCAATAACCACCTGGTGCTGGTGTAGAACAGGCTTATAAATACCGTCACCTTCCAACAGGTCTCCTGTGGAGGCTTTTGCAGACCAAAAAGTTGCAGGTGGTGACCTGTTGGAGGGTCCTGGTATATGGTTCCTTTATGTTCCTTTGTAGAGGACATGTGTTTTTGTTGAAGGTGCAATTGCCATCCTAGTCCTGGCCCTAGCGGTTCCAGTGGGTGTCCTGTCTGGAGACCTACAAGTATAGTGTAGAGTTGTCCAGCCAGGGGACCCCGAAAAGAACCAGCTGGCCCGGCCGGCGTCCAACCACCATGGATTTAATAGGCTTTACCGAACAACCATTGTTTCACTAAGGACTTTACACTACAAAACCAGCTCGTTCCCATGATATTCGTGCGTCTTCACGGAAGTCAGCCGGGGATGTCGTTGACGGGTGGATGTCGTTCGGCCGTGCCTGGAGCGCCGCTTCGCATCGCAGCCGTTTCTCCTCAAAGTCTTGGAGCTTTCGGCGCGCGCCCCGGCGAGGCCGGGAAATGGAGGGAAAGGATGGGACAGCTCAACAGGTTTCGTTCACCCAAAGGAAGCTCAACGGTGCAACTAGAGTCGAGGTCTTTGAATGAAAGCTTTCACTTCCGGTTGGTGGTATCGAACACGTCCATTTTTGTCTGAATTCAACCTTTATTTGTAGATCTCGCTGATGCATATAGACGCGTATAGTGAGTTGACACCACCAACCAGACTGGTGATGAGCCCTGTGGGGGGAAAGATGTTCAGGAGATGCTCAGAAAATCTGAGACACATTCCCTGAAACCATCACGGTTCCGTGGATGGCATGGCCCCTTGGGGAACGATCAATTTCCAGAAGAACGGGGTGCTCCAACCACTTCATATTTCATTGTTCGTGGAACGGTACGAAGCCGTAATCATCAACCATTAGCAGCAGCCTCGTCACGAGTCTTCATCATCGTCATCGTCGTCCTCATCACCATTCGTTGTTGCGTGGGAGAAGGGTGAAGACAGGGTCTGTTTCGCGGAAAGATCATTTTCCTCACTCTAGTTTTTTTGGGGGCTCATCTTGTGAAATGTCAGAATCAGGTAGAACCTGACTCAGCCAGTTCCTGATATCTATATATATATTGTACTATACTAGGATCTTCCAACAGTGCAACATATCTTCCTTTTCGTCAATAAAACCAACCAAAGGGCATGAATTCTGCACAGTTGGAAGATCCAGGTATAGCAATGTTTATTCTTTGAAAACATGATTGCACCAAACCAAATATATAGTCTGTTTTAGCCCCTTCACTTTTCGCTGGATTATTCTTTGAACACATGAGCCAACGCGTTTCTAGCTATGCCCCTTCGGTGTTCAGAAGGACTCCGAGGACGATCCCCTTTGACTGGAAGAGAACCGTCCTCAGAGTTCAGGGGACCCAGCGGCGGTGTTGAGAGTTGTGACCCAGCCTTTTGGACATGGGGTTAACATGTCTTTTGTTTTAACGTGCCCAACTGGACATGGTGTAAGCATTTTTTGCAAGTGCAAACTGGACCTGGGGTAAGCAGTCGTTGTTGTAAAGTGCAAACTCAACATGGGTTTTGCATGTTTTTTCTTCTGCAAGAACAAACTGGACGACATGAGTCATGAGGTTAACATGCTTGTTGCAAGCGCAAGCTGGTGGGGTTGTCATGTCTATTTGAACGTGCCAACTGGACATGGGGTAAACATGTGTTTGTTCCCTGTCCTCGTACCCCTGTGGTACTTGATTCGAGTGGGGGAAGTGTTGGCACCCAGCTTTGAGTGGCTCCCAGCGAGGGCGGTGGTTGGCAGAGTGCAACCCTCTTCAAGGGTGAGGCTTCTTGAGTGAGTGGGTCATGATTTCATGATGTTTCTGGAACTTCATGTAGGATTGATTGACTCACAATACATTCATCATCCTGCATGAATGTCTCTTCTCATCCTCTCCTCCTTGGCACTGAGCTCCTGCAACTGGACTGTCTCCGGGTTCACACCGAACTGAGCCTTGCCGTGCCGACAGGATTAGCTTTGCGGGGCGCCG